CTGCTGTGGGCTGAAGCGTGTGCCTGTGCGGGGGTGCAGGAGGAAGTGTCCTGGCACTGCCACCTGGAGATTCTTCATGGCCAAGCAGATTCCACTGACCAGCAGACCAGCAGTGGGGTGGGGGTGTCCTCTCTCTACCTGATAGTAAGTCGCGGTGTGGAGCTGTTGAGCAGATGCATGGGATGAAAGCTTAACCATCTCTTCTCTCCTCTTCATCAACTTTCACTCCGCTCATGATGCCTGTATGTCGTGCCCTCCCTCCCGAGCCCTGAGAAACTCTGGGAAAAAACAGTGTCTCCTCTCTGGTCCGTATATCGTGCGACCCCGCCGCGCCTCTCATGATGTGCTCCTCTGCTGCTTCGACTTTTCTCCCCGCAGAAGAAACATATCCGGGTTTTTTGGAGTGACGGCACCGAAAAATGTAGGATAGGAGTTAACCGGGTACTGTTCGGTTTTCATCTGACCGCAGCAGCAGCAGAGCCGCGCTGCTCACTTGTCATGAGCCGTCATTTGGCTGCTGATCTCTTGATTTCTGACAGTAGATACTTCAAATGTTGGAAATATGGATTTATTTGACCTTTATCCTGAAGCCCCCAGCTGCTCTGCAACTTCTTAAACTCGTACATTTCCCCACAAATGTCCCCTTAATCCTGCACTGCTACTACAACTCTTTGATGGATATCTTCTGATAATTCACCCAAATAAGTGACTACCCCCACCTCCTCTGGGCAACAATGTGCCAAATGGGCATAAAAACACAGGGTAAAAAATGTTTTTCCTTAAAATTATTAGGAGAAAACAATAACCTATATCCAGTACAGTCTGATCTGAATATATTTTATGAATCTCTGTCTTCATTTTCTGGTTTCTCTTTCAGTGTGGATCTTCAGGAAGCAGTTGGTGTTGGTTGCAAAACTGAAAAATAAAAGTCCAAAAAATACATTGTATTTGTACAGCCACCTGATATTCTCTCCTTATTTTACCTCATAATTCAGCTCCATCATTGATAACAATATTGGTCTAACAAATGGACAATCGCAGTTTAAGAATATATCTTTGAACCATCAATGGTGTTTCTTTCCAGATTCATGCATGCTTATATTTTTCTACAAGACATTTTCATGATTTAAAGGTGTCAAATTCTCTAATTTATAGGACCCTTTCCTGAAAGGCTGTTCCCACCTCGACATACAACATTATACCCACTTATAGTCACCGCTCCTCATTTGATTCATGAGAAACATGTCATCAGACATTACAATTTGTAAAAGTTACAATATGTAAAATTGGGAGGGTGTGAGGGTCAAAAGGCCTTTCTCAGAGTAACAACAAGAGGGTTAAGATTCTTTAAATTTGAGGGGAAATCTTTGTACACTACAGTACACTCTAATAATATAATCTTCTGAAGTTCAACGTTCGTTCTTGACCTGAAACAACATTTGAGATGTGTCCCCACACCTAAGTTGAAGCTACATGATGCTGACTGAAACCTGAGACAGTGGCTGCATCATTACCCATGTTAGAATATTCTGAAGTATTGTGCACACGCTGTATGTCTGAAGATGAAGACTTGAAAATCACCTGGTACAGATTTCCAATGATCCTGACTGCTTAATGAGTCTCATATTGTCTCCTCAATAACTGATTTATTACATAAAGTTGAATACACACATATTAAACACATGGTGCAGGTTTCTCTTGAGTTTAAATGTCAAGAGTAAATCAGTCATAGAAGCATGAATATTCAGCGGTATAAAAGAAAGACCTGAACAACATGCTGGATCTTGTGTAATCCTGTGGTTCATATCAGCTCTCCTGATGCAGTAGTGTTTGTTTGTGTTTGTGTGTGTGTGTCTATCAGAGCAGTTTAACGGGACCATATTTAGTTTTCAATTGCCACTAGTGGTGCGGTTTTTAGATTGCAACCAAGTGTGCGATTTTACGCATGCTCACGAGCAAAATCCGGACACATAGACAGCTTTACACAACATGCTGGAAACTCAGGTAAACATTCACTGCAACATTACAGTAATATTTTTCTCAGTTTGAGGCTGAACTAATCCATGCTCTTACATGATAACATTACATTGACAGCATTTAGCTGAGGCGTTAGCTCACCTGCCTGCTTTTCACTAACTAAGATTATTTGTTTATCTTTCTCCAGAGGCTCAGCAATGTCAGCACAACTAAATGTATTGGATGATAACAAAACCGGTTAGTGAGCTACACTGAATTATAAATAAGATTGTAGCCATACTTTATAACAGTTACATTGATAGATTGATAGTAATATTGATCATGTTAGCTGGTGAAGGTCTAGTAATGTGGAAAGCCACATAACTAGGATTTTGGACCAGGTAACGTTGCAACTGCTCGGCGTTAGCTGGCGAGCTAATGTTGTCCAACTTGAGCCTACAAAAGCACAACATCACAATATATTTCACATGCTTTGCAGTAATGTTAGTTTACCTGTCGAATAGGATGAAAGCCAACTCTGTGTCGATTTTGTAGTTCCAAAGCAAAGCGTTGGTCTCGCCCTGACTCAAGCCTTTCTGATGTTGACTCAACCCAACATCAATTTGATTCTCGTTCGGCCTGAAGGGCTTCAGCACATTTAACTTTGTTGTTGTTTTTAATCCTTATGTGGAGTTCGTGTTGGAGTCTGTGTCGTGCTGGGAGCGTTTTTTGGTGTTAGTGGACTCCAAGCAGGTAAGAGGCACGGGAGCGCGCATGCAGAGAACTCGACCCAATACCTTCGCATAAGAAGCAGAATGGTGGCTGTTCCAAGCAACAGAGGAAACAGGCATGTGGTTCATTTCTTTGTGTGGTTACAGCCCATTGACAAATAGGCAGTAAAAAAGTCATTTATTGATAAGTGATTTCATTGATAAACTACATATAACCCCTTTAATTCCATCATCTGCAGTCAAAGATCAAAACAGTGTATTTGTGGACCTCAATTCAGTGCAGCATCTTATTTTAGAGGTCATGAAAGCTGTTGGACTTAGACACTAGTGTGAGAGCTGACATTAACACACTATCCTTTGTTATATTAATTTGTGATGAACTTCATATAGTGTAACTGAAAAATAAATGAAACACAGTCTAATGCATGGGCAGATGATCAAGATCTAATGTGATCCTTCAAACTAGAGGGAGTCTATGGTTACAATAGGTCAGGTTGGGATATTTACAGCTCAGGCAGTGTTGCCAGTGAGCTGCAGTGGTCTAGCGAGCACTGGAAAAACTCATATGTTCAGATTAGTCATTGTTCCCCTTGCTTTCTAAAGGATGTTTACAGGCCTGGACGCTAGTTTCCTAAAGTCAGAAAACTGTCCTCTGCCATCACCAGGGGAACCCCAGAAAGGACGATTATACAGTTACTGATTTGTTGAGCTGAAATTAAAGGAAATTGTGGATTTCCTGCATGCTTCTGGTAATCTTTGCCCTGAACTAACCTGCTATATGTGAAAGTCTGACATCACCATGGTTAGGACCGCCCACTTGATTTAAAGCTCAGGTTTAGATCAGTATCAGTGTAAAACCTTTGTAAAGCACTTTTGTAACTGCACTAGAAAATCAGCATCTATTAACAAATGTGTCTCTTACCAAGGGGCATAAGCTAATTGACTGAGTGCTTGTAAAGAAATATATCCTATCTTCTAACAGTGCCCTGTAAAACCACAAGTTGTTGTTGTTTTTACACAATTTCTTAAAAACTATAACCAGGCTTTTGAACTAAAATTTCAAAACCATTACTTTCAAAAAGCACACCCATTTCCCTAAACTCTACACAAAGATCTCTTCATTTCTCATTGCCTCAAAGCACAGCTTGAGCTCAGTTAGCACACAGCTACCCAGCTGGAAACACAAAGAGTAATAATTGATAACACTCCAATCAGAACTGTCAATAGATAGATAAAAGGACCAGAGTTGGTTCACTCAGTTTGGAACAATGGATGTAGAGAGATGTGAAGGAAGAGGAAGAGGACACCAGAGAGGAGGAAGAGGAACAGGAGTTGGAGGAGCAGTAGGGAGAGGAGGAAGAGTAGGGAGGAGGAGGAGGTGGAGGATGAGGGACAGACCAAAGACAGGATCCTTAGGCGGAATAATTTGTTGATTGGTGTTTTGTACTGTATAGTACACTAAGGAATAAAAAATGTGCCAAATGTATACTTTTGTTGTTTCCCTTGTTGTGTTCATCATGTGAAAAGGGGGAGAACCACAAGCAACATTACTTATAACCAGTTTTTGTGGTATAGTTTTGGATTTATCTCACCAGTGTGGAAGACTATGTTGTAGTGTGTGTTTTTGAGGACTTGTGTTTCATGTTTGAGGGCAAAGTTTGGTTTTTCAGCAGATTGAATGGTTTGAGTTTTGAAAGCTTCATTTTGATCTGAAAATAGGATGTTTGGGGAATTGATGAGAAGTTATGGATTTGAGTTTCGAGAGAAAGAGGCATCATTTCAAAAAATGTGTTTAGCAAACCAGAAAAACTATAAACAAATGAAACACAACATGGACAATGGCTAGCTATTTCCCCTGTTTCCATTTCTTATACTAAGCTAAGCTAACCATCTCCTGGATGTAGCACAAGAACAAACATGAGAGTGGTATCCATCTTCTCATCTACCTAAGCAAGAAAGAAAATAAGTGAACTTTCCAAAATGTCAAACTATTTCTTTTACCTCCTGTCTAGAATACCAGCCTAATCTCAACCCAAATGAGTACTTGTGGATGATGGAAGAGTGTTATTGTATTTCTATCAAGGTTTGTGCCTCTTAAAAGGGAGTTTTTCCTTGCCACTATCGCCAAGTGCCTGCTTATGGTGGGAATTGGGTCTCTAAATAAATAAGAATATGGTCTAGACCTGATCTTTAAGATTGGTATACTGAGATAACTTTTGTTATGAATTGGCATTATATAAATCAAGTTGATCTCTTCAAGACAGTTTACAACACGTATGATGATCATCAAAACACACTCTTTATAAAGACATAATGTGTCTTGGTGCTTTATTTTGGTCTGATAAGGCTGAATTCAGTGTGATCTACCTTTAATTTCACCATAAATTTAGATATGCGTTGACACCTTCATCGTAATTACAGAGAACTGAGGGGAAACATGCTAGGACACACTGGTCAACACCAGGAAGAAGCATGCTTCAAGTGTTTGATAAAGTTTGTTGCTGATGCAGAGTCAGAGTAAAAGCCCCAGTCTCGTGCCTATTTATCTTTTGGTTTGTTGTACAGGGGGGCATCCACACTGTCCAACCTCACACCTCAAAGCTGATCTCTCTCGACTGTCCAAACAGGGGCTCTGTTGCCAGGTGTGTATCTGAGTATGCACGCCGCAGATGTGTAGAGCTGCATGTGGTCTTGATGGCGACCTCATAGGGAGGCGGGGGTTCCAGCCACGGAGGAGGGTGAGGGGATGGACTAAAACCACCATGGTCCATGGGAGGGTAGTCGAATTCCTCACCACGAGCACGGTGCCTGTGGCGTTCCATTGTCCTACACTCGAGAAAAACAGTGACAGTAAGAACCCATGTGAAAAAAGATCACATGGAAACAGTTCATGAGGCCAGACCAAACAGAACCTGTTATGTACAGTATAGTCAATGGTTGTAGAGATCAGATGCTAGAAACCAGATGTGGACATTGTTCTGTCAGTAGTTGTCACTCTTTAGTTTGGCGATGATTGGGGCAAATGTAGCTTGTGGAGGCTATTTATATCAGCTGAAATCTTCATGCCTAGATAGGTGAAACTAGTCTCAGTCCACTTAAAGGAAGTTTACCAATACATTCTTGTTCCCAAAGTTACCGAATGGGAATGCCAAAGATTTATCATAATTAATTTTAATTGAGGCCTCAGGTTGTGTTAGAAAGATAATAATGTCATCCGCGTAGAGTGCCAGCTTATGTACGACGTCACCAAGGGTGACTCCAAAGATTCCATCATGAGATTGGATAGCTTCTGCTAAGTGCTCGAGGGCTAGGGCACACAGCAGAGTGGATAGTGGCATCCCTTTCTTGTGCCCCTACCCAGGTGAAAAGTCTCTGATGTGCAGCTGTTGACCAATACCCTAGCCATAGGGGAACTATATAGTACTTTCACCCATTTTATAAATATAGACCCTAGCCCAAATTTCTCAAGAATATTAAAAATAAAATAAAATTCCATTTGATCAAAGGCCTTGGCCGCAGAGAGTATCTTACAATCCACTCCAATCAGGCTTATTGGTCTATAAGATGAGCAGCAGTCACAGAGTTTATTTTTCTTTAAGATTAGAGATATATTGGCCAAATTAAGCATCTGTGGCAATGAGCCATTTTCAAAAGACTCCTGTCAGTAGTTGTGTTTCCTGCCAAATCCAGGAACTGGGTTTCACAAAGGTATATTGGACATCTTGGGTGTGCTCGATGATAAAATGCTTTTAAATTACAGCTGTAGTCTGTGACCATGAGCCATGTACACACAGGGTTTCTTTCCAAATAAACCTGATGAGACTTTGAATTGTGGCAACATTAGCTCCCAAATGCTATTCCTGAAGGAATAGTTCACTATTTGGGAAATATGATACCACTCTGTGTGCTAAATATGAAGCTACAGTCAGCAGCCCATTAGCTTAGCTTAGCATAAAGACTGGAAACAGGGGGAAACAGCTAACCCATCTATGTCAAAAAGTAACAAAATGTACCAGCACCACTAAAGCTCACTGAACATGTTATATCTCATTTGTTTAATCTGTGCAAAAACCGAAATGTAAAAATTTGAGTTTACTCTCTTATGAGGTTTTCTGATAGCTACATACACGCCTGTGAATGGGATTACCATTTTGAAGCTTTTTGAGCCTGGTTAGGTCTTCCCTCTGTTTCCAATCTTTATACTAAGCTAAGCTAACTGGATGCTAGCAGTAGCTTGATATTTAGCGGACAGACGTCAGAGTGGTGTAAATTTTCTCATCTAACTTTGTCAAGAAAGCAAACAAAGGGTATTTTTAAAAATGTTGATCTATTTCTATAACTTCCTATTTTGTAGTGGTTATATTTAGATAACCATGGATCTTGCCTGTGGGCACCGTGTATGGGATACTATCAATCGAGGACTGTGGAAGGCAAAATGGAATTGTTTTCCTCAAGTTTGATGTTTTAAATGTATATTAGGTATAAAATAAATGAGAAATAACATCAAAGTGGACATTTCTTTGTTGTTGGGATTTGTGTGCAGGTCTCTGGTACAATCATGAACAGGTCTATCTCTAAAGGACCCTGAAAGCTGCTAACTGAACCTATGATGTCATCAAATATAGAGCAGGAAGAATGAACTGGACAACATGGCAAATAAATGGTCATACATAAAGTCTATTCTTTGGGTTAACTATGGGATCCTAATTATTGTTAGTACAGAAAACCCATGTATCCAGATTGAATTGTACTAAACAGCAATAAATGTAGTAATTTTTTCTTCACCCACCTGGGCAGAAACACTGACTGGGATTCTGGGAAGCGGTTCCCTGGAGGTGTGAAAATGGCATGACTGCCAAAGTTGGGGTAGTCGTATGGATAATGTGGACACTCTGGGTCGAACTCCCGTTGGTTGTAGTTTGCGGCACTTTTGCTGTTCATAGCCCAGAATAGCCCCAGGATGAGCATGACCACCCCCAGCACCACGCAGCAGAGGGAGAAAGCCTGCAGGCGGCTCTGGTATGAGGACAGGAAGGCTGTGGAGCCCCCAGTCACAATGAGGAAGGCTCCGATGAAGATTGCTCCGTGGTGCAGGGAAGGCATCCTCCTCCAGGACTGTTACTGTGCCTGAGGTTACTGTGTAAGCTGTGACTGGCTGGATAGTGTCACTCATGTACAAACAGTCCCACGGAGTGCGCTCCCCATGTGCTCTGACACTAACCAGGCATCCAAATAAATTCTCCACTTACAGATGTCCTGTTGTAACAAGGAAAAGCTAATTGAGTCTTACTTATTTGCTCCCATAATTTTCATCTCCCAAAACTGCTGATCATAAAGTCCAAGTGTTAGTCCTCACTCTGTAGATATCCAGCTCCTGTGGAAAAGTGTTCAAATTAATGGTTTGTTGGAAAATAAATAAAAATAGAACAATGAAGGCTTCGATGCGCATCAGGCTAATGTGTACTAGCTGTGTTTGTCATCAAGGCAGATGGACGAGAGGACGGCTGAGCCCATTAAGAAATCTTTACTGGTGCCCCACCCTCCCTCTGTCTAATGTGTCTGAAGGGTACCACTTTAGCCCTGTGTGTGTGTGTGTGTGTGTGTGTGTGTGAGAGAGAGAGAGAGAGCAATTTCTCAAAACATAAATGGAGTGGAATTTTGGCATACATTCTTTAACAAAATAAGATGCTTTTGTAAACTCATTGTGTTAGGTTATAAAAATTCAAATAAAGAGTTTAATGTTTGGCAAGTGAGTTTATTTGCAGGCCAGTGACAGTTCTTGTGCCTTAGGTTGTGATTGGGGTTGTTTCATACCCCAATCACAACCTAAGATCCTTAATAAATTTGAGTGATTTATAGGAGACCCAATCTTCAACAATCACTAAAAACAGTATCCCTGCAATGTTACTTAAAGGTCCAGTGTGTAATATTTAGGAGGATCTATTGACAGTAATGCAATGTAATATAAATAATTATGTTTTCAGTGGTGTATAAGGACCTTACATAATGAATCATTATGTTTTAATACCTTAGAATGAGCCATTTCTATCTACAGTATGGGTCTTCTTGTGGTTATAACGTCAGTTTGCTGTTCATGTAGAGTGAACTGGATGTCTGCATGTTGTTACTATGCTCTGATAATGCTAATCCAACAAGTTGGAAGAACTTCACATCTCAGCAAATGGGACCATCTGAGGAGCACATGAATGCACTGTGAACTGCTGGTTGCAATTTGTAACCCTCACCACTAGATTCCACTAAATCTTACACACTGAACTGTTAATTAACCTGTTTATACATTATATTGTTCATTCATCAGCCAATTTGGTCAGCAAATTTTGATGTGTTAAAAATGTGATATTTTTTAGACCAAATAATACACATTTTTTGACAGAATATATAAATTAATAGAAGACAGTAATATTTTAAAAACACATATTAAAATAAACAAAATAAAAACATTAAATAAACATGATTAAGAGTCTATAGACATGCTTGCAACTATTTCAAACAGGTGGAAACGAATAAGAGGAGTTTGTTGTGTACATATAGAGGAACAAGCAAGACTAGCTAGCAAGGCTTTCCAACACAACAAACTCCTCTCCAACTCAAACACCAAAAATGCAAAAACAAGCAAGTTTTGTTGAAAAACTGAAATGATCCTTTAAGCTAAATGCTAATGTTAGCATGTTAACATGCTCACAGCGACAATATTAACTTGCTGATGTTTAGGTATGATAAGTTTGCTTAAGTGCATTTGCTAATTAGCACTGAACACAAAGTACAGCTGAGGCATTGGAAAGTCATTAGTTTGGTAGGTATTTGGTTATTAACCAAAGTATTGCATAAACTGAAATTTTGACACTAAATGAATTCAGAGGATCACTAGAATTATTACAGTTTATCCTGAGGGGAACGTGAAACACAAATTCATAGCAATCTATCCAATAGTCTATTTGTTGAGATATTTCCATCTGGTCAAAAGTGATGGACTGACAGACAGTCAGTATGGCTAAAAATAAAAACAAACAGCTAACTTAACAAATAAAATAAATACTAATAAAGTCCAAACCATACAGCAGAAGCTCCAGCTATTAATATAGGAATTATTAACAATAAGGACAAAAAAAGAGCTGATTATGGTTAAATGTATATAACCCTCAAAATGATCTTGGGAATGGGTGTTGAAGATGATATTATATATTATAGGCTATACTTTATCAAATGTTAACGTTTGGTGATTTAATACGTTTGTAGCCCCTTATGCAAGAAAACTGCAATCATAAGTTTAGAGGAAGACTTATTAGTATTAAGATATAAGGTCTGTAATGTACCTACTCCTCAGACTTTCTCTATGACCGATATGGGTCTAGTGTTGCAACAAAGCCATGAGGACAGGGAGCATGGTGTGACAGCCTCTCTGCTTCGTGATTGGTTAAACTTAAGAGGGGCTATTGCACTAGAAGTCCCTACAGTCAGCTGTTTGACCAATAAACTTGAAGCTTTGGCGTGAGATCCCGCCCCATTGGTATGTTAAACCAATCCGTGTAGAGCAGGGGAGTGGCCGACCGACCACCTAGCTACGCTCACCTATCGCAGTGAAGAGGTGATCAGGAGTCAGTGTTTGAGGTTGGGTTAATCACCACAGAGTAGTTTGACCACATGAGTACCCCTGCGGTCCAGTGGAGGTTCAATTAAAAAAGTGTAGCAGACTGTCTGGAAACCATGGATCCGCTGCTGTACTTAGCTGGCCTGGTCATCATGTTCCTGCTGTGGATCAAAGTTAAAGGTCTAGATTACGTAATCGTTCACCAGAGGTGGATTTTTGTGTGTTTGTTCCTGCTACCCCTCTCCGTTATTTTCGATGTGTATTATTATGTGCGGGCATGGCTCATTTTCAAGATGTGCTCTGCCCCCAAACTGCACGACCAGCGCGTGCGAGACATCCAGCGACAGGTGAGCCACCACCATTTGACAACGTGCACAGGTGTGTGTGTGTGTGTGTGTGTGTGTGTGTGTGTGCGTGTGTGTGTGGGTGATTGATGCTTATTCTCATTTGGTGTGCTTAAGATAATCATAGGGTAATGTGTAATCAGCCATACAAAGGCTATGGTACAGAATAAATGGGAGACAACAATATTCCAATGAGCTGCACAATCAGTCTTATACATCCTGACTGTTATTATGTAGAGTTATCACTGTAATTATTTGAAGTTTAATGTATCATTGGCATGGTCAAAAGCCTGTATGGTACCTATATGAGGAGTTACCTACATTACATGTGTTTTGCAAGGAATTATGGGTAGAGGAAAAACTCACAGTGGCTACTTGCGTTTCAAATAAGAGAGTGATGTTTTTTTTTTCAATTATGTAAAATATATGGAGTCAAAGCAACTTTGTAAGAGGTACATTGTGACAGAAGAATTCAAACATTGGTGCTGTTGCTTTATCACTTATCAATCACACGTTAATCAATTATTACTTGTTTTATGCACTTATTTACCTGCTTTTTATGCAACTGGAGGAGGTTTTATACACTGTATGCACACAGTTACATTTTGTCACGTAATTATCAAAAACACACATTTTCTTTATTCACCACTAATATAGAACCCCATAGTTGTCTCAGTAACAATATATTACAAAAAATTAGATGTGTGGTCCACACATCATAGAACTCATGGATTACAGCTGCAACATTGTTAATTGTAATAACCTTTTCTTCTCTGTATCATGTGTTCTGACACATTTCAGGTACGTGAGTGGAGGAAGGATGGCAGTAAGACCTACATGTGTACCGGTCGACCCGGCTGGCTCACTGTGTCTCTCAGAGTGGGGAAATACAAGAAAACCCACAAGAACATCATGATCAATATGATGGACATTCTGGAGGTGGACACAAAGAGGCAGGTAGGAGGATTCAACAGACACAAGTTACGTTCCCAGATGTTTTGCACATTTTATTGTGACTCAGTTGTGTTTCCATTTTCTTAACCATTCAGCCCCAATCAGCTTTACTCACAGATCTTTTCACAAACAGATATATTAATCAGAAATTTCAAACAGCAGGGGAAAAAAACACAGGTGTAACTGGTGACTCAGTTCAATTAGGTGTCCCAGTAAGCCATTTCAGCACCATGGTCCTGGACTGTTAAACCTAACACCACCATTGTTAATGTTTACACCTATGCTGGTGAAATACATCTATTCAAATAAAATGAGCCTTTCACAGGCTATACATTTAAATGATTCAGTGTTTATTTTTAGACATGCTTGCGTCATGGCTCTCAGGGTGGCAATGTCGGTTGGTTGGTCTATTGGTCAACCACTTTGGTCCAGACCAAGCGGGAACCTCCGGGTCTGAAAAGGGAAGCTAATGCAGATGTGCCTTAAACCTGCAGTGTGTGTAAAGGCCAGCAGGGGGTGCCTCCACTTGTTGCAAAAAGAAGTCTGATTGCATGGGATGCAATGACAAAATGACCCTACTTCTCACTTTATTTATTACCTCAGGAAACACTTTCCTAATGATTTTATGATCTCATCGCTAGTTTCAAGTCTCCAATACAGCATGATGTTCATTTTGTAAATTGTGGTCCCATTTAGAGTAAAATAGACCTGCCAATCAGGATAGAGACTAATCTATGTGTACATTTAACAAGAAATGAACTTGTCTAAGAACATTGACCATTTCACAATGTGTTTTCGGTTCATTAAAGTTAATTGTAACATTTTGGTCGCCTAAAATGTCTTGTTCAGCGTTGAGTACTAAAAGACACTCTAAGTCCGCTGTTCATTTTTTCCATTAATTTAATTTTGTTTTAAGCCTGTTTTACACTAGCCAAAATTAGCTCCACCCACTGGTCCATTTATGCTCACGTCTGGTTACAACAAACCAAGATGGCGGTGGCCAAAATGCCAAACTTGAGACTTAAAATGGAAATCCACAAACCAATCGGTCACGTCACAGAGGCTACATCCATTTCTTTATACAGTCTATGATCCAGACTGAAATATCCTACTTACTTTGGTGATCCCTTGACTTTTCATGTAACAGGTCAAAGTTTTACTTTTTTCTCCTCAAATTGTACTTTGTGTTTAGTAGTAATTAGCAAATGTTAGCATGCTAACTTGCTAAACTATGATGGTGAACATAGTAAACATTATACTGGGGTAATTCCTATGTTCTCCAGATTTATGTGGGAACATGACAGGTTAGGGGTTTAGAACCCTGGGAACAGGAGTTGGAAGATCAAAACAAGCCAATAACCAGCAGATTTTCAAATCTGGTTTGTTTGAAGGGACACTTGCATTAATTTAGCCATTTACTAGTTTTTTTCAATAAATAAATTTGTCTAATCTGTGTGTGATCAACTGACTGCCTGTGTTTCTGGGCACAACGGACATTTAAAAATTTTGCCATGTTCTAAGATGATACAGATAAACATTGGATTAATACATTTTCACTTTAACTCATTTGCATCTGGTTCGATTTTGTATTCAGTGTGATGGCGAATCTTTACGCATAGTAATCTTTTTTTAATCTTTGTTTTTTAGGTTTTGAGAGTTGAGCCGCTGGCCAACATGGGTCAAGTGACCGCTCTCCTCAACTCTATTGGCTGGACACTGCCAGTGCTGCCCGAGCTTGATGACCTCACTGTGGGTATGTTGTCCATATTACTGTGGATTATTTTCTGGGGAATCTTCATATAATGGAGTCATGTGTGGCTCTCTTGTTCCTAGAAATGGAACACTGTACTGGTGATTTCCACAACATCACTGTAGTGATGTAGATCCTGCATTTCCTCCATAAGTCACTGTATCCTGTTTAGAGCCTCAGCGACTTCTCTAATTGTGTTAGAAGATTGATGTTGTAGCTCAAAAGATGAAACTGGGAGGAAATGGCTGCAGTGTTGGAAGCACCCCTGGATCGGGTTTCATAATGGATTTCCTGATGTCATAAACTGCACATCAACAATCTAATGTTTTCCCATCTGGCTGTGGTACATTCATTTATCCTGATGTCCACAGAGGCACATACATACTCACTCCCAGCAGGCAAACGCATGTTTTCTGCTTGTGTGTTTGCTGTTGGTCTCACCTGGGAAGATATTGAATTACTAAGAATAAATATTTTACTCTCTCTCCTCTGTCAGGTGGTTTGGTGATGGGAACAGGCATCGAGTCATCCTCTCATATTTACGGCCTGTTTCAGCACATCTGTGTCGCATTTGAACTGGTTCTTGCTGATGGCAGCTTAGTACGCTGCACGGAGGTGAGTGTGTGTGATCCACAGTGTCTCACAAGTAGTGAGTCTACAACTTGTATAACAGTGTAAATTTGCTTTCCCCTCAAAATAACACATCACACAGCCATTAATGTCTAAACCGCTGACAACTACTTTACATTGTAGCAAAGTGTCATTGCTTTAGTGTTGTCACATGAAAAGATATAATCAAACATTTAAATAAACGTGAGAGGTGTACTCATTGTTGTGAGATACTATATGTCTGAGTCCAGGGGCCTGTATCAGGAAGTGAGATTAGTGTGTTACCTTTGGGCTTGACCATCAACAGGTTGGCTTACATTTAATCAGGGATCACTATGGTAACATCACCATCACCACAGACATCTGCACTGTAGCCTACCTCTCTGCCTTGGCAGCAGAAACTGTCTTGCATCACTTTTAACTGTTTTTATTCGTAATTGTCGGTTTATTGATCCAAAAAAGAAAAAAAATTAATTTTCCATATTGCTCTAGACGCCTAAAAATCGTATTTAAAGCCTTATTTTCAATATGTGGATATTATTCCTACTGTACTCTCCTATCTTGTAGTATAGGTGTGTGATTACACTGTTTTTATTTCACCTCACTGAGTATCTATCTATGACATAGTATCTAGTATCTATTTTTTTTTTCAGCTACAGTAACCTTTTTTCTCCCAGGGGTATCACCATTTCATCTCAAATTGTTATTATAGTACTCCACTCATGGATCTGCTGCTGCTGCTGCTTGTAATTAAGAACTCCTGCTCTGTCATGTGAACGTGCTCGTAGTGGGATTAGAAAATAACTGTGGTGGGAAGGAGGAATTAACCTTATGTCTGACTTTTTTTAAACAACCCTTAATAATATGTATACAGTTTTGAAAAAAAATGCAACACCCCTTAATTTCATCACTCAAACCTGATTTCAAATGGACACTGAGTATTTTCTGTATCATAGGAGGAAAACTCGGACCTGTTCCATGCCGTCCCGTGGTCATGTGGAACTCTGGGGTTCCTGGTTGCAGCTGAGATTAAAATAGTCCCCACTAAACCCTGGGTGAAGCTGCACTATGAGCCGGTAAGAGGACTGGAGAACATCTGTAAACGCTTCACTGAAGCATCGGAGAACAAGCAGAACACATTTGTTGAGGGCATCCAGTACACTCTGGACACCGCTGTCATCATGACGGGAACCATGACTGACCACGCAGAGCCTGATAAGGTAAGGTGTTTGTGAGCCTGTGTTAGACTGGTTTTCACGTGTTTGATCACATTTAAACTCCCGTTTTCCTCTTTTACACCAGATTAATAGAATCGGCCTGCACTTTAAACCCTGGTTCTTCAAACATGTGGAGGGCTACCTGAAAGGCGACTGCAGTGGAGTTGAATACATCCCTCTGAGACAGTACTATCATAGACACACACGCAGCATCTTCTGGGAGCTTCAGGTAATCGCAAACCACTCACACATGCAGAGATTACATTAAGGGACTGCATATATCTGCCAGATTTTAGCTTGTCATCGCCGTATCAGCTCCTTGCTCACTTCTTTTTATTACACTCTAAAGCTCTCACACACACACATTTTGGACTCACATCTACACACACACCATTAGCCATTAGTGAGAAGGGCTTGGCATCCTTTGTTTTCTATAACAGTAAATGGTGTGATTAATTATTCATAGTATTGGTTTGACAGATATCTACAGAAGGTAGCTCTGGGCTTTTGGGTGGTCGGTTTTTGAAAGGGTTTTGTTTTGTAGACAGTGCAGAGGGAAGTCAGACAGAAAAAGGGCAGAACCCAATTTGTGATAGTCATCATTAATGTGTTGGCACAGTGATGTTAGGGAGAGCCCTTTGGTGCTAGTTGTTGGGTTGTGGCTGCCCTCTGGTGAAATATAAGAGGAGTGCAACCACATTGGATCTGTGTCATCAATTCTATCGTCATCTGAAAATTCAACATCATATTATAAAAATCCACTGCAAATCAACAACAATATGCTTATAATCCATGTAATTGTAATTTTAGATTTTAAGGGACTGTATGAAAAGTATTTAGGTGCAGAGGGGGGCTAAATCTCCCATTTAATTTCATATAAAGCAAGGTCCTCCTCAGCATTAATGAAATCTTTGGAACCTCCTCATCATTCTGACTGTTTGATCTCTTTTTAAAAATAATATCTCAAAGGAAAGCTGAAATAAAATCCATTTAATTGATTTAAATTTTCTTTTCTTTTTAAAGTCAACCTAATGATTTGAAAATATTAACATTGCTCACTCCTAGATTTAAAGTGTAGTGGTGACAAAGCAGAGGTTGAGGTGAGTTACACAAAGAAAAATGTTCATCAGAAACTAATATCCAGAATCAGAAACAGGTTTATTTCAAAGTAGTATTTTACATGTACAAGGAGTTTGCTATGGTGATTAGGTGCTAGACATAGACAATTCTAATAATAATAATAATAATGCTGGCATTTAAATACCTATGTCATTATAGCTAGAAGCCCCCACATTATCCGTTTTCTTTTTGAATTTTATTTGTAAATTTTTAGCACCACTTGAAAATTTTAAGGAGAGAAATTAAACCACAGACATTCCGATAGAGTTATAGTATAATTAAAATATTTTAATTATATGATTTAAATTTGGTTGCGACCTGTCCAGGGTGTACCCCGCCTTTCGCCCAAAGTCAGCTGGGATTGGCTCCAGCCCCCCTGTACGCAGGATAAGCGGTTGACGATGGATGGATGGTATTTGTAAAGGCTCCGTACTTGTATAGCGCCTTTCTAGTCTTTTCGACCACTCAAAGCACTTTTACACTACATCCGCATTTACCATTCACACACTGAGCCTAAGTGCTCAAACAGAAACTAACATTCACACACACTGAACCCGGGGTTCAGTATCTTGCCCAAGGACACTTTGACATGCAGCTTGGGGGAGCTGGGATTGAACTGCCGACCTTCCAATTAACAGCCAAACTGCTCTATCTCCTGAGCCACGGCCGCCCAAATTTAAATTCTAAGTTTACAATTATTTATTATATTATTATTTATTATTTATAATTATTTATTTTCACAGTTCAGTATTGAGTTGTTAATAGAATTTAAACTACAATGTAACTTCTCTACATAAATGTAATGCTGTCTCAGCTAACAGGTCTCCAAAGAGGCCAACATGACATCTTCAAAAGTACTGTTTGATGTCCAAATCACAAAAGTATTTTATTTTTATCAAATATAAATTTTATAAAACAGAGAAAACAGCAAATCCTCACATTTGAAAAGCTGCAATCAGCAAATGTTTGGCTTTTTTGCTTAATTAAATGTTCCGCTAATTGATCAATTGTTTTAGTAGTTACGGCACAATGCATCATCTTTTAACATGTTTGTGTGCGTCTCTGTGCATATTTGTGTTTATCTCCAGGATATTATTCCCTTTGGCAACAACCCAGTGTTCCGCTGGCTTTTTGGATGGATGGTCCCTCCTAAGATCTCACTGCTGAAGCTCACCCAGGGAGAGACCATCAGACGGCTTTACGAGCAGCACCACGTGGTCCAGGACATGCTGATACCTATGAAGCATCTGCAGGCTGCCATCACACACTTCCACCAGGACATCGACGTAAGACTCTGATGTGAAAGAAGCCACTAAAATACTCGCTGTTTAGTGTACGTCCCCCTGCTTGAACTCCTGCATGTCTTGTGTTATTTCAGGTTTACCCTCTGTGGCTGTGTCCATTCCTTTTGCGACCAGGCAGAGGGATGGTCCACCCCAAAGGTCAAGAGGAGGAGCTGTATGTGGATATTGGGGCCTATGGAGAGCCCAAAGTCAAACACTTTGAAGCTAAAGCATCAACGCGTCAGCTGGAGAAGTTTGTCAGAGATGTGCATGGGTAAGTATCGAATAAGACACAGCATTTAGCAACTGCAACTAAGGTGTCTCTGCGATTATATTGATGTTATCATACCCACAAGTAGTGCTGAAACAAATAATGACATTTACATTTCCACTGCTTTGCGCATTTCAATGTACCAATACAGTGACACATCTACTGTATATATGTAATCTGCAGGTTCCAGATGCTGTATGCAGACGTGTACATGGATCGAGAGGAGTTCTGGGAGATGTTTGATGGTCAGCTGTATCACAGACTGAGAGAGGAACTAGGCTGTAAGGAGGCCTTCCCGGAGGTTTACGACAAAATCTGTAAATCTGCCCGACACTGACCACAGCCCTGTCACAGATACACCGAGGCGCTGTCTGCAACTCACATTCGGTGACAGCTTCAGGTTTTGGGACATTTCTGGAAAAACTAAAAAACTGTTTTACACGAAGCTCTCCAACCAGATCAATGGGAAGCAAGAGCACAAATATTGTAATGCTTTTAATTGATTAATGTATTCTGTTGTTCCTTTTTCTGTACACAATTAGCTTATTTCAACATTCATGTGCTGCTTGACTGAAACCACAGATGTGTAATTTGTACTTGTTGAGAGCACATTGCACCAAATGTTTTCTTTTTTCCTTTTTTTAAATGTGTATATTGGGCAACTTGTTCCTGTTTAACAACCTTATCAAGTCTTCATCAAAGACCGTGTGCATATTTGTACATCTTTTTAACAAGTCAGCCTTACCTACAGTTTCCCAGGTGCCAAACACTTTGAAAATATGACTTCCCAATTAACATCATTTGCATATTTTTTAAAAACTTTTGTGACAAATCTATGGCTACTTATAAGCTACTATTTTGATATAAAAAATCTGTCCGATCACCAGTACTAAGGATTGAAGGAATTCATTAAAAACTCTTTTCTGCAATAAATATCATTCTTATGTTTTTTTAAAAATTGATTCTAAAGTTGTTTAAGAAATACCATCAGGTCACAGCCATCAAACACACATGGTCAAAGCTAATTTATTTTACTTTTTATTATTGTAACAGCGCATTGCAAGCCTAATCTTTTTGTTTCTTTTTTTTTGTCCTTGCCTATCCTTAAACTTATTTCTTTTGTGTTTGCATATCATCAAAGCAAATCAGATCGACTCTGATAACCTGACTTTGTTTCTTTTGTTTGACACAGACAGACACAGACACCACTCCCTGCTCCCTGGGCTTGCCTTAAGAGTCCTTCTTCGCATACGTGCTGTTTACAGCATTCAGACATCTTTCCACCAAATTGCCCTGTGTTTACTACAGACTGGAGGTTTTACCTGGAAGCGTCGGGGGAACCAGTGGTGTTTGTTTTTAGGAGCTGTCAGGAATTTCTTCCCAGGGCACTTTCTCATCCTGACGCTTGCGGTTCCGCCTTCTTCTTTCTCTTCGGTGTGACTTACAACGTTAACGTGAGCTAGCAGCATAGCTACCATCAGCAGCTAACGTTACTGTCAGAGACGAAGACCTCTGTAAGAAGCTGCCCGGAGTTATTGACAACACAGGTAGGCTGTACTCTGTGTTAAGTAACGTTATTAAGTATTAACTCGGTGTTGTCTCTAAAGATTATAGTGATGACTGTTGCCGACTTGACAAAAGAGTCAACAGCGAGTACAGTAATAGTTTTCTAAGTGAAGCTAACTTAGGCTAAGTACCTCAGTTAACTTTAGCCCATGCTAGCCGCTAGTCAGTGTAGTTTTACCCTCTGATACACGGTGGTATTACAGCTAAGTTAACGTTAGTGTTAGCTAATACTAAAAGCTGGCGTTATTTCACGAAATAGTTTTTGCAAAGGTGACTTTGAAGACGTGTTGCAGCCCCGTCTGTTCTTAGCTGCTTGTCGGTACTTGTTGTAGTGACTTAATTCAGCACTGCTGTTTGTTTTATTGCTCGCATACCTTGAGTTTTCTATGATTATTAGTGGGACGTGAGCACCTGCCGTTTTCTTTAAGCCCTGATAGAAGTCATAGAAAAACCGGGTAAGGTCAAAACAGCACTAGTTTCCTTGACAACAACGCGGAAGTTTCTAGAGCCTATAGCTGAAGGTGCACTGCGCAGATTTTAGCATTGACAGAAATACAGCACTAACCTGTTGGTTGTCTTATTTATTTGGGAAGCCAGATAAGCGGCCCCTGAGGTGTGTTGTCGTTATCTAAAGGTGTGGATGAGTACAAGTTTAAGGCGGCATATCAGCAGTCCTACAACTTTGGCGTGCAGTCAGTGACTAGAGCTAAACGTTGCCCACAACCACTTTTACCCAGTTTGTTTACAATATGCTGCATGTTGTCACGTCCTTATTATGACCACATTTATTACGTTTCCAGAGGCTCTGGAGTGGAGCATCCGGGCCCACCAGTTAAGCAAAAGAAAGTATTACCGTTTTTTCCCGACGGAACAGTTTTGGAGACTACAGTGAAGTCCAGACTGGCAAGGAGAGAAGCTGAGGGGGAAGCATGGCCACTGACCAGGAGCCCACGTTCACAGTCAAGCTGCTGCAGCTGCTGCTGCTCTCCACCTACTGGGGAATGCAGATCTGGGTCACTTTCATTTCAAGTTGGTAACACACACACACACACACACACACACACACACACACGTACACAGAAAAGTTGGAAACACTGGGGGAAGACAAGAGGAAGAGTGGGAGAGGCTGGTTAAACATTTAGGATCAATAATGACACAAGTGTTCTTTCATTGTGGACCTGAATGTGGCCTAAGTGATTAGATCAGTGTGTTTTCAGTGCATCTTGGGACACATTCACACCTGTGTTTAGATCTGTTCAGTGTGTGTGTCAACAGGACCTCAGTGAAGCACCTTTTGTGTCATCTCTAACCAGCCTTTTCATGGTCACCGATCTGCCCCCATCCAGACCCTGACATGCTTTTGTTGTGGCTCAGTCACTAAAGTTACACAGTAATGAAAGGTGTGTCTATGGGTTGCTTGTAGAGTTATGCAGTTCATATTGACCCTCAGAACATTGCAACATCTGAGCTTTCTGCCAGAATACAACCGTAATGTGTTTCTGTCATGTTGTTATTGTGGTATACCATTGTATTTATGCAAACACAGGTTTTTAGGAGTCTACTTAAACCTGTAGAGCTTGTACCAAGCTTCTGGATTGGTGTGTCTGAAATTAAGGTGTGTGTGTGTGGATATACTAAAATTAGAATTCTTTACATCTTAATTTGATTAATCTTACTCCAACTATGACAAAGTTCAGGTAGAGGTCATCAGAAAATGGCTTTTCTAAACCTTGTTATTTTCAGGAAGTTTTTATTCATGTAAAAGCAGTCACTGTCTGACCACGATGAAGTAACAGCCAGGAGGCACCCCCGCAGTGCTAACGAGTTGTCCTGTTTTCTGCACAGGCTTTGTGATGGACAACCACCTGAACAGACACACGTATGGGTTTATCCAGAGTCGTCTTGTCCCTTTCTACCTCCACTTGGGTTCAGCTTGTGCCTTCTTTAACCTCACCATCTATGCTGTGTATCACCCCAGTGACATGCTGGATGACAGAGAAGCCTTTCAGGTGTTGTTTTTATTCCACATCATCACTTTGCCAAAAAAACAAAACTTTTTACAATATTTCTTTAATCTCTGCCTCCACTTTCCCCACCAGATCTTCATCTTCTTTGTGTCTGTGACAGTTGCGGCTGTCAACGCCCAGTGGTTCGGCCAAATGACATCAGAGATCATGGCAGACATGCACCTTATTGAGCAGGCGTGCGGTTTGGGTCAGGATATCGGCCTGTCGTCGAATCGCGAAGCTTATGCCAAGCTGTGTGAGACGGATGTCAAATATAGACACCTCAGCAGTCGCCTGTGGCGGTACAGACTGCTGTCCTCCCTCAGCAACCTCTGCTGCATAGGCTGCAACTTCTACAGTCTCTGTTACATGGCTGAGAACCTCGTCACACTGTAACTGACACACAGCAGCAGGACTGTTAAATTGTTAAACTGTTAACCCCCCCCCCGTCACTCCCTTACAAAATCTTTTTTTTTTGTATTAAAGCATTAAGTTATATATTTAATACGAAAAGTCTTTATCTCTCTCTTTCTCTGTTTGATTAGTTATTAGTTAAAAAGTCTGGAAAGCCTTGTTGTTCTTGTGCCTTGGGGAATAATGAAAGGATACAGCCACCATGCTCAGATTGAGGCTGCATTTCTCTCCTAAAAGGTGTAGGGAGACAAATCACTTTGTACAATGAGTAATGCCTCACCTTTCACCTAGTGTGGCTGAGGCTGGTGGTGGCCTTGAGATTTCCCTTTACCGATACCATTACAATATGGGACCCTTCAGGAACCTAAAACATAAGGGATGTTTTTAAAAGCTTTGTACTTGCAGTATCGGAGACGCCATAGTAGAAAATAGCCCAATGCACTGCATCTTTTTTAATATGTAAGTAACAGAAAGGCACATTTATTAAAGGGACTGCTCCTATGCTGCTCAGTCCTGCTCTTCCTGTTTGGGTGGAGTTACGTGCTCACAGTGCACTGGCACAGGTTTGTCTGGCTTACCATGTAGTAACTAAAGAGCACCTGTGGAGCTGTGCTTCACATTTCAAAGTACAAGGTTGCACTATCTTGTCCTGGCCACTTTTACTATATGGTATACAATCAGTACTGATTTTAGACCATCTAAAAAACACTTGCACCAGTGGTTTATTTGGTATATTGGAATAAGAATTTATTGGTAAACATTTACAGTGTATTGATCTGTAAATGATACAGATGTTTTTGTTTGTTTTTGATGCAGATTTGTTGTTATGCAGTAGGTTGATCTTGTGTTATGAATCTGTCCCCCAACAGGTAGACCCTTGCTATCATCATTGTGTCCTCGAGGAAGACACTGTTGCTGTTGCATTGACGAGCATGAACCTATGTTGGGGACAGGGATCAGAATGGTCAATAGAAGGTTTGATTGCATGGCATGTTTTTTGGGGGGATGGTATTAAGTATTGTTTAGACTTGCTGAGATGATGTGGGTCTATTTCGACTCAATATCTGTGAAGATAGTTTGGAACCCTCCAGAAATTTTGTTTCTGAACTTCCTGTGCGTCCCAGCACACTAACTTTTGTTTTACCAAGCAAGTGTGCTTTAGGAAAAAAACAGTAACCTTAGGGGCCTTTATAGCAGTGTCTAATCTGAGACCTGAATGAGATCTCTGCACTAAACCCTTTCACTATTCATCCCGGAATGACCACCTCACATGAAATGTGTCAGTCAGACATTGTGGCTGTTGGGAAATAATGCAGCAATGATAGGAATGGGAGCCAAATTATTTTGTATTGTACTCGCACTGGAGTTATGTGCAGTGCAGTTCTCAGGTGTCAGTTTTTTTCTGTCATAGTTTGAACATCCTTGCATCGTTTAGTGTCACATATCAATCAGAGAGGATTTGCGGTCAATTATACATTATGGTGTCTTTTTTTTGCACATATTGAAATTGTTAAACCTCTCCACGCTATGACGGTCCTTGTTGTAACAGCTTAGGTGAAACTCGTCTCTCTTCTGTTCTTCTACTTTCTGTTGTCCTGTGATATACATGTTCAGTACACCAAAGTAACATCTGTAACCACAGCAGAGACAGCTGAGTACAGATTGTGACAAACTCTATTCTTGTTTTTCTTGTATTTGTCCAGACTGGACCGATGAAGGTGCTTATGTGCTAGTTACTGGCAAAGACAATGCAATATTACTTGGTAGTTGTTTTAAAATATCCTCATAACATATCCTCTTTTCTTTTTGTCATATCGCCTGTTGGCTCAGCCAGTTTAAATTAATAACATTAAAATGCAAGTCATCTGGCAGTTTCATGCATAAACATATAAGTTGTATTTGGATGTGGCATTTTAGAACACATTTTTACATTAATTACTGAATATTTATACCACGTTCTTAATATGTTTGAGATTATGGGTTGTAATTGTTGGTGTGGCTTGTGAAATACTGAATGCAAGACCAGTGAGGTCCGAGGTCATGAGCTGTTTATGGTAGTGGGTTTGTATCAAAGATGTTATATGTATGGTATGTTTTTTTTTTTTTATTAAAGATTATGAAATTTTGACATTCTGTTTGAAGTCTCTCAAGGTGTTTTACATATCTTTTTGTTAAAGTGAAGGATTTGAAGCCCTTTACACCAAACTGAATGTGTGTATGTAGAGACTCTGGCTCACTTCATGTGTGATTTATAAGTTATGTTTTTGGTGACTCCTAGTGGGGCTAATCTTTTCTCAGAGCCTGAGTTGTAGCCTGGGCCTCCTGTGGATGGGAAGGTCCAATGTGATGTCATGTTTTGCCAGATGCGCCAGAAGGGGGAACCATTGCCTCTGTGTAGTTCATCCTCAGTTACAAAACAATGTTGTTATCCAGGACTGAGCAACATTAGAACAGTTTAAAAATAATAAATATTCATAGCTTCACCGGAACATTTAAATAAGACAAATCCCAAGGAACATGTTATGTCAACAGTTTTAATGAAAAAATACATCAATGCTACAAATCCATGGTTGCTGTGATTGAGATGAGATCACCTTCAAATTCACAAGTCGCTCCACCTACAGAATGAATATTAGTCTAAAAAAAGTAATAAATATAAAATGATAGAAATGTAAAAAACAAACAAAGTCAAAACTCGTACCTGACTATTGAAAGGTTTAGAAAACCATGTTCCTCTTATCGTAATACTTGACACATACATTTCAGGAAAGTATAATAATCTCAGTCTCAACAATGAATGTAACTGTGAGGCAAAGCAGTTTCACCCTTTTTTTTTTTTACCTCAGTTAAAAGTGCGATAACATTGTGTCAGGAAAAAACAAAAACAAATGGATCCCCTTGTACAAATAACAAACCATAAGTAGTTGTTAATTCTGCTTAGAGAGAACCAGTTACAGCCTTTGAGAATCCACAACACACATTCTGTAATACCGAGGGAACAAAATGTAAACTGTTATCTTAAATTATCTCCCAAAAGGAGGCAGGAACATTAATTAAAGCCACAATCCTTGATGGAAACTGACAGCCCACTGCCCATCCACTTTGGTTGTTTGAAGGATGAGGTTAGATTACTGTCCTTACGTTTGTCTGTAAAAAGCTTATAACAGTGTTTGCGCAAAAATCTAAAGAAATGTACTAAAGACTGAAACAACAGAAAATGACAGTGTCAGTGCATCTCGCTGTGCTTAGAAGGCATCTAAAGTTACAGTCCTTGTAAACAGCAAACTAGAAAAGGCAATAAAAAAATAAGGATTGTTTCTTTAAAATAACCATTACTTAATTTCCCCATGATTCGTCAGTCCACGCTTAAAACCAGCGATAAATCCAGCTGGAAACATTACACCATCCCAACATTACTTTTAACGTTCAGTTCAGGAAATGTTGTAATATAAATAATATTGGTTCCATGTTTCCCTTCTTCTCGGTGCTCACATGTACAGTATCAAAATACAAATATTTAAAAAGAACATCTAAAAATCAACCCACAGTCCCTAGTGGCAACCGCAGGAGTGTCAGGGTGACGCATGGCTCCATTTCCACAAAAACACAGAAAGGAAGTTTCTGTGACAGATTCTCATTAATCTCATGCCTTCGCCACTAAAATACTCCATAAATAAATCATACTAAAAATAGAGTTTTCCTGTTCATCAGCATAATAAAAAAATCAAATCCAGTGTCTCTGTCATACAACCACCTTGCCCTTGAGATCCAGCTTGGTGCCTTCACTTGCTTTGTTGGACTGATCTTCTGTTAGAGTGATGTAGGAGTACACCAGGCTGCCTGCAATACTGCAACAACACAGGCCACAACCATGTTAAAGTATACAAACACTTCACACCACATATGAAAAACATAAATACATGTCCATGCTGGTATTTGACCTAACCATGTGCTGGCAGATAACAGGAGATTTATTTGTGAAACTGGTTTTCAACATGAGGTGTTTGAATTAATGTTAGAGATCTACAAAACTTTCATTTGATAACTGCAGGCAAAAGGAGACATGAAAATCGTGTCAACCAGCGTAAAGGTGAACATGTTGCAGCACATCATCTCGTCATAAAATTCATAATTCCCAACAAGATGCAACAGGTACAGGAGTTGATTGGCACATCACTCTTGGTGATATCTGAGTCACATTGACCTTTTCCTTTACTCAGCAGAAACAAATATAATTTAGTTCACAGTTTGGGGGAGGACCAGTGGGAAACGCTCCAGTTCTGTTTACAAACTGAAACAAGAACAATTTAAGCTACATGCTAACGATGGAACATGGGATAGATGGGATATATTGCACTACGTGAAAAACAAAAGCGCCTCTGTAACATATTTACCCCCCAGTGTGAGCTTAGCACAGCTGAGGCCCAGTGTTGATTGGTTTAAAAAAATTCAAAACATTCAACAATTTTAAATTTGACCCAAGGATGCCACTAGATGAAAAGTCAGTGGACCAAAGTCATTAGTATTCAACATCTAGGGACCATGAATTTCTGTACCAAATGTCACGGCAATGCAGCCAATAGTTGTTTATATATTTCAGTCTGGACCAAAGTGGTGAACCAACAGAGCAACACTGCCATCCACAGGGCCGTGCTGCAAGCGTGGTTAAAACACAATATGATAATGTGGTATTCACAGTTACCTCTCATGTTTATATGTAACTGACTCGATCTGTTGTTTGGTCATAATGCAAAATGTATGTGGTAGAATGCCAGATGATTTGTGTTAGGGACAAATTCTGCATAGGTCCCCAGAACACCTTGGGCCGGCCCTGAATATATTTAAGTCTATCCGTCTATGTAAACAACTGGACGTTTGAGCATACATTACAAAATAATCCTTTTGTGTCATACCTGATATTCAAACCTATGAAGTTTGTCCAAGAGAAAATGTAGTCTCCACTGAACACCATCCCAATGTAGGTCACCAGGACATTCTGAAAAGTGGAGAAAATATAAATGAAGCTGTTTTGTTTGTGTATTGTTTTAGTATATTTAACTGTTACTTGATCCAAAACTGATGCTTACCTTGATGCAGCCCACTATCGTAGTTGTTAATGCAGAGTTGTATTGTGTACAAAGGACAGTGGAATACATCAGAACAAACCTGCAAAACAGCCAAGTTATCGTTTATCAACACTTGTTCAAGCATAAATTCAGATTTCACAGTGTTGATGCAACATGGTAGACAAAAGGGTCATTGTGAGTTTCACACTCAGTCAAGCGATGGCCTAGAATGATATAATAGCAAGAAGAACACAGAAATTTGATATTATCCTGTTGATGGTCAATTCTGGCACAAAACACAATCCTGCAGCTTGCTTGCGCATACATGCACATCACACATAAGCGTCGGCCTGTATTCTCACCCCATGATGCAAGAGAGGATGAACTGGGTGAGGAAAAATGCATCTGACCAGCCTTCATATTCCACTGCCTGACAAGAGAAGCACAGCGTAAAAAACAACAGAACTCTACGAGAGAAAACAAACACACGGACATTATAAGCATACAAAAAAGCTGGAATAAAGCTAGAGATGTAGGCAATTGTTTATTAAACTGATTTGAGTTTAAAATATTCAGTTTGTTTAGTAAAAATAATTCAAGTCTTGGACATGTCTGTTCTGGCATTCAGTGGAAGAAAGAAAGGTCAAGATGAAGTGAGCACTGCAAAACAAAGACACTGACACAACAAACATTTACATACTTACAAATTCAACACAGAGTTTCGAAATAGCTTTAAAGGGTAGTAGTGTGTATTTCTACTGAGGTTATTCAGTCAGGGGAGGTAGTAGGCGCTGCTGTAATAACTCTACTAGGTGCATAATAGCAGCTTTGTGCCTTTCTGGCTGCTGGGCCCCAGCTGGGCAAACCAGAAGGTCTCTGCCAACACTCACCAACAAAAAGGCAGCTCATATTTACGGCACACACCCATGCTTACGCGTATGTGCACTCACTTCAGTTTAGGATTAAACCTCGCAATAGCTGATTAGTACCAACACCATAAATACAAAAACTTGGTGGTTTAACTACTGTTGAAACACTTACATTTCACAAATCGAATGAATACAATCTACCATGAATAAATGTATTTGGATGTTTGAATAAAAGTTACTTAGAAAGGGAGCTTCAATCAAACAGCTTACCTTCTGCACATCTCCAGTCACATGAGCAAACAGTAGAGTAGGAATTATCATAAATAAAGCATTATAATACAACAATCCATACTTCCCCAGCTCCTGTGAGAAACAGCATAGAAACAGTTTCAGCAGAGCAAGAACAGAGAGGGTTATTCACAAGTGTTTCAGTGCACTACCCATTAACTAGCATACGGATGGCATGCATGGCCAGCACACTGCACTACCTAGAAACCTCTTTTTTGCATTTGTCTGATTCTGTTTCACGTGACTACATCTTTCACATACTCACACACACCTCTCTGTCTCGCTCTGCATTAGCAGACATCACATTACAGACATCACAGACTAAATCTGGACCCAGTTCTGCCTCTGCTGTAACGTGAGAGCTGAGCGGTCTTCTCATGTGACATGAAAAACGACTAACAAGCTACTTCTGACTCAACAGTTAAAATAATGCAAGAGAACATGCAAAATAAAGAGAAACACTCTACAAAAACTGAATTAAACAGTGATAATTAAATCAACTTAACAGGGAGTCAAAAGAACCAACTCCTGGCGTTTGTGTACACGGAGTTCCTTTAAGCCAGACGCTGAAGGACAGTTACGGTTCTCTAAATTAACAACATCAGCTCAATGCCAAAAGCAGCTCCCAGCCAACAATGGTTACTATTCATCAGATGGCGCTGCCGCATACCTTCGCATCCAATTTTTGTTTCACATAGGCTCCGTTGGCTGCAGTCAGCACGTCGTTCAGGAGAATGAACACGTAGCCTTGCAGGTCGAAGGACAAGTCGGCGCTACGAACAGAGACGAGAGAAAGTGTTGAGGAAGAAAATAAGTGTTCTGTCACTAACGATTTAGCTTTGGGCGTGCTGTGTTTCAACAGCGCTCCTTTAACTACAGATTTACAACATGTGTGTAATGAACCCTGAAGACAATATAACTAAAGTGAGGATGTATCAGGACAGGACAACCCTTTGTAGTGAAGGTAATTCTGGTCTGGGACACCTGGAATTAGTAGAACTTACCTTGCAGCTATAAACGCCCCAAGGATCATTGTAAATACTGTCAGCTGGACTGGCCTGGAGAATTTCTTCCTGCCAAAAGGTCAAAGACAGTAGAGCAATGAAATTCAATCTGTCTGCTTTGAGTTGTAAGTAAAAGCCACCATAACAATGCAAAGAGCTTGTTGTCCCACTGAGTAAAAGGACCAGTAAATGAATGAATGTAATCTTACTTGAGCAGTAATCCTTCAGCCAGCATTGTGAATAAGATGGAAAACCTCCTGAGGACAGTAAACATCGGCAGACTGGTGGAAGAGGACACCAATTTCTTTAACTTGGCCAAACATCAACAGCCATGCCCAGTGAGCTCATTGTGACACTGCATCAACTTCCCTTCATCAGTCATTCAGCCTAGATAGTTTAGATATGAGGACTTACTTTAGCCTTTTGGTTCCAAACAGACCAGTGACTTGATTTCCCACATAAAGGAGAGGTAGAGGAAACGCCTGTGAAACCAGGTAAACATAAATATTTGGCAATTGTGAAGAAATAAAACTGCCTTGCTCATGGTGAACTGGCAAAAGATTTTGGAGGGATGGCAAGATGTTCTCACCTTGCGAGGTATACTCTCATCACAGTCTGGGAAGCTGATCACCCTCGCAGCCTTGCCCACCCACAGCACAACCACTGTGGCCAACATCTGCACACATAAATTCAATAGACAATTATTTTAACTTTGCCTGCATGCAGGGATAGGTGTGTGTTTGGAAAATTGTGGCACAAAGAGGGAAAAGGGATCAACTTACTTGTCCAATTCCGACACATATTGAAGAAGGGAACCTGGAGAAGCAGATTTGAGTCCCCCGTTAGTCCCAGTCAACATGAATTTACAGCTTAAAGGCTGGGCACACTGTAGCTAACCTCGTACCTAAATAAAGCATCCTCAAATGCTATACAATACTATACATAGATACTGTAAGTGAAGCTCTCTTATTTCTGTCTGCACGGTTAGCTAATAAGCTCCACCGTATTGGCTCCGCTATTCAACACAACTTCAGTTGCTATGTTAGCTAGCTTGTGGTAACGTAGCTTTTCAACTAACAGTTAACGTTATACGCGCAATAAGCGTTAGCAAAACCGTTACCTGTAGTTTGTGAGGACACTTTTGTTCACCACGACGATGAGAAACGAGCTCACGCCGTAAAAGCCTGCGGCAAACAGCTTCACAAACACTGTCAGAGGTTTGTCCGCCATCCCCAACAAGTTCTCATTCCTCTGTGAGTGTCAGCTCTCTCCCTGCCATCTCTTCACAGGCTCATCCCCCGCTACACACACGCACACGCACGCACGCACACAACACGAGGACGTAGACGTTTCACAACTTCCGCCACAAGTCTGAACATCACAGAGACGCATTTGCTTTAAAGAGGGATGTTATTTTTTTCGGTCTATAAAACACGTGGAACGCACACACGAAGCTGAAAATAACAGCTTTTTGTTTGTTAATTTATTAACGTAAGTCAAGTCAAGTCACTTTATTTATATAGCAATTTTTAAAACAACAAGAGTTGACCCAAAGTGCTTCCTAAATACAAGTAACGTTATATATGAATAAAAATAATAAAGAGTACTGTACCATTGTGTATCCAGACACACAACAAACACAACCCTAATAGGCATCCAAGGAAGGTTGAGGTCAAGGGCAACTGGACTTGGACATTTCGTCCCTCATCCAAGAGGCTTCTTCAGTCCTGACCTTTTGACTGACATGTAACTCAGCTATTTAACCTCTGTGGGATCGTTTGCCAGGATCTGTCCTCGGTAAGGACAGTAATCTAACCTCATCCTTCAAACAACCAAAGTGGATGGGCAGTGGGCTGTCAGTACCCATGAAGGATTGTGGCTTTAATTAATGTTCCTGCCTCCTTTCGGGAGATAATTTAAAATGACACTTTACATTTTGTTCCCTCGGTATTACAGAATGTGTGTTGTGGATTCTGGTAACTGGTTCTCTCTATGCAGAATTAACAAACACTACTTACGGTTTGTTATTTGTACATGGGGATCCATTTGTTTTTGTTTTTTCCTGACACAATGTTATCGCACTTTTAACTGAGGGAAAAAAAAGGGTGGAACTGCTTTGCCTCACCTTATATTCATTGTTGAGACTGAGATTATTATACTTTCCTGAAATGTATGTGTCAAGTATTACGATAAAAGGAACATGGTTTTCTAAACCTTTCAATAGTCAGGTACGAGTTTTGACTTTGTTTTTGTTTGTTTTTACATTTCAATCATTTTATAGTTTATTACTTCTTTAGACTAATATTCATTCTGTAGGTGGAGTTCGGAGATCACCACTACAGTTTAATTGTAGTAATCAGTTGTGAGCTCAATTATTTGTAAATATTTCTGATTGTGGAGACAGGGACCAAGAGAGGAAGGGGGCCCACAGGGACTGCTTATAGGACCCAGAATTTTGAGGGACGCCGCTGCCTGGTCCTATCACTTTGTCTTGCCAAGGCTAGTTTCTCAGTGACAGCACTGTGTGCTGTTTTAATAAGCCTGTAGCCTGTTTTCTGCCCATGAAGTCGTGAACTTCAGCTGGTGCCACAGAAAATCATCTGACCTCACTTGGTGACAGACCAAAATAAATGTCAGCAAACCTAGTAATATTTTCAACAAGCTGCTTCTGTGGTGTTGTATAAACAACCACTGTTGCTGGCATGGCTGTCTGACTTTCAGCTTCTTTTTTGATAAGCTTTTGACAGTACCGAGTCAGAGTATGGCAAATTATGTCCAAATCCTTTTACTGTACTCCTGATTGATTTGTTCTGCAACTTCACCTGCCTGACTGCCTTTCACATTATGTCAGGTGGTGAGCTGCAATGCTGTCTTTCGCTGATAATTTCTAACCATCTTCCTTCCTTCATTCAAAAACACATTTCCTCTTTGCAATTACAAATAAACTACATCCTTATTATGCTGTCTACTATCCTTGTTGCCTTAATGCAATTCATAACACCATACTAAAGTAATGACGGCATGAAGTAGTGCGTGTGTGTGTCCACCAACACACTACAAGCCTACTATATTAAACAGTAAATCCCCACACACACGCTACTTCATCCAGTGTCATGAATTCAGTTATATGTAGTCCAGCGACATGCCTGCTGCTGTAAACTACATTGTAGTTATAATATTCTATTTACAATATTGTTGTCAGAGCTTATTATACAATTTCACGATGTTTTTTTAGCATGTTCTATGTGTATGTTTGTACTGGGATAAATTGTCACATGCAACAACTTTCCCCAAACTGATATTTGTGCTAATGTTGGCTAAATCTCAAGCTCAACATAGCACTTCATTAAAGTTGTGTTTCACTTGGAGAAACAAGAAGACCTCCCCCCACTACAATGCCATTGGGAACAGGAGACAATTGGAATGTTGATGAAACTGGGGTGACCACTGCACATTGTGTTCTTAGTTTTCGACAATCCAGTGTGACAACATGCCTGCTGATGGGGCAAATTGTCACAAGTGCACACTTTCTGTTCAGAAGCCTACAACTCTGTCATGAGATAAGATATGAAGATGTAATGAATACAAAATATGTGCCCAAGACTTCCTTCTTTCATGACATTTATTACCACTGTGATGAATGGTGTACAATGGCTTCAGATTGTTTCAATCACTCTGCCCAACGGCGGTGGCGAAGCATAAATTTGTTTGCTTTGTTTGCTTTGTTTGCTTTCTCATTTTGATTGGTCACATTTGGAAAAGCACAGGTGTTACTAACATTAACGATGGTGGCATCACAACCAATTAAGAGTATTGTCTTTATAGTGTATTTTAATATAGAAAAGAATTAAACGTTTATATAAGACTATAGGAGCAGTTCTGTGTGCTGCTTTAGAGTAGTGTTGCCGGTGGACCAAACTTGATATCTTCAAAATGCAGCAGCTCCTCATAAGAGATGGGTAGAAGACGTGCAAATATATTTAAACCCATTGGTTTATCTTTACAGCAAAATACATCAAGTCTGATAGAGGACAGTGCATGCTCCATCCAGAGTGCAGTACAAGATCTATTATTCAATCAATCTATTATTACCGAGAAATTTAAAAGAATGCATATATAATAATACATTTTCTATTTCTTTTTAGAGAAAGATAAAAAAAATATTACTTGTGTGTCATACCTGTGCTGAAGGACAGATTACTCTCTGCAGTTGGTGTAACAGTTTAAATTGTTCACTAATTACACAGCACACAAATGATCAAAACATTTTATGGTATTTCAAATAAAACTGTCATTGAAAAAATGCTATATTGCTGATGTCATAGGGTGGTGATGGTACATGGATACGACACATGCCTTTGGTGTGAGAGAACCGGGTTCAATTCCACAATGAAGCAATGTGTTAAGACCCCTAGTTGCTCCAGAGGCGTGTGACCTCTGACATATAGCAATTCTAAGTCGCTTTGGATAAAATTAATGTCAAATTCTTTGTACATCCATAATGTGATTGTTTCAACATAGAACAAATTGTGCGCAACAAAGACATTAGGCGGAGTCATGCAACATACTTTCAGTGTTGAAATCACATTGCTGTGAGGTTGCATATCATTAACTTATCCTCCAAAAGCCAAAGTAAGTTTAAAAGCCAAGTTTAAAATTAAAACAAAACATCCACTCAAACTTGACTGCTATTAACCAGCAAACCTCTAAACATTTAAATACAGTGGAATATGTTTTAATTTGCACTTTTATTACTCTTTAGCCATGTAGAACATTAATAGTATATGTTATCCTGTAGAGAGAAAAAAGACGCATCTAACCAAAGCTTTGATCTAATTATACATGACCACTAAATGAAGGCCAGCTTCCTGACCTGACCTTGCAATGGCCTGTGTATTTTGGCAGGTGTTTGTGGGATAAAAACCTGACGTGTCGCTGATAACAAATGTGTTTCTGCATGTGCCACGTTGACAGACGGTGGTTTAGTCAAACCTACAGTTCTTTCTGAAAAGACACAGGAGGGACATCTAATCTGAGCCATGTCTGGACTGAATGCCTCTCTCGGATACTTCCTGGCTGTTGTGATTTTTGCAGCCTCAGTTCGAACACTCCTTAATAAATGGCCACGGTTTTTCTTCACTTTGGAGTTTGCGTCCTCTTTTATGCTGGTGGCATGTTGGCTGGAGGTGCAGACCATTGTGGAGGTGGGTGAGTGGGCCGGGGGCTTGGGTCCTGATGTGACTGTAACCATGCTGTTCGTGGTGCTGCTAACACACGGCGTGATCTGCGGTGGTGCAACAGGGAATCCCACCCTGGTTGTGATGAAGTTCCTGCAGCTCGACGCCACCACTCTGCCCACTCTCCTTGCTGTTGCAGCACATTTTCTTGGGGCCCATGTAGCCCTTCTTGTAGCTGTTTACTACTGGAGTCTGGAGCTGACAGACATGCACATGATCAAAACCCTGATGGCTAGAGAGTGCAGCACGTCTCTGCTGGTCTCTTTGCTTCAGGGTTTTTTTACAGAGTGTGTTTGCGCGCTCATCTTTCACCTAGTCCATCTGAACCTGCAACGCAGATGTGCTCTGATCCGGGTGCCCTTGATCGCCATCCTCCTCACTTTCCTGTCCCACACAGGTAAGTTTTATGTAACCCCCCCACATGGTAGCCTAAATCACATGTGCAACCTTAATTTCCTCCTCCACCTGACCTACTTCAATGTATCCATTATTAGTATTTATGAATTTGGCCTAAAAGACTATAGAAGAGAAGAAAGTACAGTATTACTGTTAGTTTGCTCATTAGATATTACCTGTTTCAATGGACATCTCATTGATGTTTTTTTGATGTTCATGATCAGGGTCTTGCTTCATTGTATTCTTTTACAAACTTATAATTGACATACACTGCACTGCTGTTTGCTTCAAGTGTTATTTGATAGACTTGTGTGTCTACATCTATGTTATTAAAAGCATATAACATCAGTATAATAGCTTTATTTGTCTGTTCTTTTTGCAGCCAGAGGCTACACCTCAGCTTACATAAATCCATCACTGGCCTATGGCCTCACCTTCTACTGTTCTGGATTTACCTTCACAGAGTATGCAGTAGTGTACTGGCTGGGCTCTCTCACAGGTAAATTACATTAAAATGAATTATACAGTATGTGCATCCATCCCATGTCAATTCTTTGTAAGGGAACACCCTGTTTACAGAATGTCTGTTTTCTAGGCATGACTCTGGCTCTTCTTCTGTATATGGGCCATATCCCAAGGATTTTCGCCAAGAATTTACTATATTTCCAGAAGACACGTTTCCGAGTGCCAAAGGGAGACAAAGGAGAAAAGAAGAAAATGTGAAAAAAAAATTTCAACCTTTTAGAAAAGTACCTGACAACAAATGGTTAATGGTCAATAGGTATTTATCTCGAGGAGAAGTTACATGTCTGTACAGACTGTGTAAAATATTAAGCATAAAATAATAATGACAGAAGTTTTCCATCTTTGACAGCTGTTTTCATTAAGCTTCTTTTGGGGGGAAAAAACCCAACACTAGTGTTGGTGAAATCCACTGTGCAGACCACATTGTGGCCATCTGTTGGTAGCATAAAAAATGACACTGTGATCAACAGATTGATAAACACACTGCGGAAATAACACTGACGTGGAAAGTTTGCATTCAAATAACATCAAACTAGTTCCTCAAATTATGGATATAAGTGACTCAAAAACAGTACACATTTTTAAATAAGAAAATGAAAAAAGACAAATATCAGTCCTTCATTTATCGCAGTCAGAACAGGTTAACTGCAGTTACGTGCTGGCGGTGCTCTGGGTGCCACTAGGTTTAGAAGACACTGTCCCATCAGGCGTTGTATCTTTTGGCGTCTTCTTAAGAGAAGGGCTTGAATCTGTGGGGTGAGAAAGAATAAATAATGGTCAGTACCGAGTGTTCTGAAATACTCTTTGCTCAAGTCAGTATTGCCTCAGTGGGAGTTGAAAAATCTGAATTTGCTACTTTTTCTCAATTCTTATGTATTTGAGAGCCAATTTGTGCTGTCTGATAACAGTTTTATACGAGTATTAGGCCCATTGTATAGATACTTTTATCTTTTTTTTTTTTAGCACAGCCATTGGTAGGGGGGTAATATTCTGGGAAAAAAGTGGTAGATGTACGAGATAAAAAGCTGCTTTCACCGATCAGTATTATGAGATACTTCCTTCTGTTCAAATATTTATAAATGACTAAGATGTGATACTAAGATGGTGCCAATTGGCTTTGCTGCAGCCCCTCATATCTGCCCCAATTATCTGAAAGCTCCACCTTTTCTGTCTTCACTGACTCTTGTATTATTACTACTTATTATTACTCATAAATTTACCACTTTAATCTCAGGGAATATCCAGATTCTTTCTCGTATTTTTAGGACTTAATTCTATCAAATCTCTTTCTCTCAAAACATTTTTTTCCTTCTAATATTACCTTACTCCTGTGGCTCTGTAATTTACTTTTATTTTTTTATCTACGTTGGCCCTAATACACTGTTATAATTTTAGGCTCACGGTATTATTAATCTTTAAGATTGAGAAGGGTTTCACAGTACGAATCTTGATGCTGCGACCAGGTAAGCACAGTACGCTTAGTAAAACCATCCTCTGTGAGGTTAGTGGAGGGTTGTCACCTGGCTGCTTTTGTTGCTCCATCTGAGCCTCGGGACGATCTACCCATAAACAATAATCTGGATTATTCAGTAACATCTTGCTCTGGCCACAACTGAGGCACTTCACAACAGTAAAGCGAGTCTTGTGTTTCTTCCCTAATGAGACAAAGTCAACAAAAAGAAGGTTAGTCTCTCTGAACATGCTTCTTTAAATCTACAAAAACTAGAGTGAGACAATCAGAAATACTTTATTCATCCCCGAGGGGCAATTCTTTAAAGAGACAAGAGTGTCATAAAAATGGTAAACTGACTTACTTCGTTGTCTTGTTGTGGCAGTGACACCAGGGATGAGCAATGAGCAGCACTTCTTGCATAATTGTCTCTTCACTGATGGGTCTCTGCAATAAAATAAACTATTAACAGCTGAAACCCATATTCATGCTTAGACAGGTTAGAGTTTTAAGGATGTCAACCAATCCTCTGAAAAGACCAAAACCAACTGTTAGTCCCTCTCGCAATACTTTCTGATTTACCTACCTTGTCTGTGGCTCTCATCCCAAAGCACATTGGTTCCTACTAAAGATGTAAATCTTTAAAAAGAGGTCACTAACATATAGTTTCAGTTGTTAAAAGGGCTCAGTACAGCTGAGCAGAACAGCTTGGCACTTAAGTTTTTAGTAAATGTTACTCAAACAGGAAGAACTGGTGCATTTGTCGTGAACAATGTTCAGCAGTGGATGCTGAAACATGTTAATGGTAATGTAAGAACATGTGTAGCTCGTTAATGTGTTTTACAGTTCTCAAATATGTTTATCTGTACATATGAAACCCTATGCAACAATGAAAAAAGTAATCAACAAAAGGTGTTGCTTTACAGGAAAAGTGCTGCGAACCTTCAAAATAAAATCAGACGAAACAAACGCCTCTGTATAATAATCAAATAAACTTACTGTCTAAGAACTAAACGTCTTGCAATGGTCTTCTGTGTGAAGCAGTAGAAACGAGCCAGCTCCACATTCTCCGGGGTTTGAGATAAAACACAATGTGCAGCCTGCAGTGGGATAAAACCGGTGGAACGTCATTACATAGACACCTCCATGGCGAGTTAGCTAGCATGTTAGCCACGTGACCGTTACCAATGCCATCACGACAGCGGTTAGCTTTTACTTTATCATTTATTTCCTACCTGGTAAAGATAGTTCAGTCTTTGGTAAGCGTCTTTGTCTTTCGTGTGGAATGCCATTTCACAGTAAGCCCAGAAAGAGTTGCAGTTATGTCCTGTTGTTACAGCTGCTTCACTTTGAGAATCGGAAACCGGAGCTTAGCCGAAACACTGTTACACTTCCGGGCAAAACCTCCACAATAAAAGCGCAAAGTAAACTCAGACTACAAAAGATCAACCTTTTCAAAATGATTGTCAACATACTCTTTAATATAAAGACACCTCGAGCTCTGTCGCCTACATCCTAAATTTGTGCCTGTAGATAATCATACACTGTGGATAAACCTAAACAGAGTAGATAGAAAAGGTTTTTAACACTATAGCACCACATATATTTAGTCTAGTATCATATTTGTTTCACTCTGTGTGGCTTTATAAAAATAAGGTGAGATTACTGCACACCAATCACTTTCACACCCAATCACAAAAGCACTAACAGTTGCATTTATTTGAGTGTGCAGACAAGGTTGTTAGTCGTCATGCTGAAAAAAAGAAACAGTCAACACATACCAGCTAATTTTTGTTTTTCAAACTAATTATGGCGTACACAATATACATATGGGAAAAGCGCATTTAGTCCAGAAAAACACAAAGGACAAACTTCAACATACAATAGTCATTTTTAATAACAACAATAAAGAAGAAAGTATAAACCCTGTCAATCTAACATTTTAATTTGCCTGTAAGGTGCACCTCTGGTATCAAGAGACTAAATGATACTGGGGAAAGACTGGTACAGTAGGTCTGTCGGCTGTGGCGATCGAAGAATGAGACAATCACAGGACATGTTCATGATGGCAAATGCACTGAAATGTTTCCTATAAAATCAGTAAGAGAAAATGTCCATAAAACACAAAGTCAGTGTGGAAACAGCACAAGTGTTCATTGAATGAGACCAACTCCATAACAAGAAGGGGGACAAATATGAAATTCAAGTATCAAAATAACTAAGACACTGACGAGCTGAAAAGGTAAATTACAAAGGTAGTAAAAATCATGAGAAGAGAAACACTGACAAAATCAACAATACATTAGGCAACAATTTTTTTAAGGCAGATGATTTAAAAAAAAAAAAAAACTAAATAGAAACTAGGCATCTTCTTCATTCCAAGTTAAATACAAGCCTAGAAACTAACTTACAAGGAGATTTGTTGTACAAAATAACTATGCCTGACTCGGAAACTAAGCACTTAAGTTTGACTTGTCTTCTGACGTCTGAGTGAGAAAGAGTTCGTGTGGACAGCGGTGGAGTTGTGCTCTATATTTTTGGTCTTCTTCACAGTGAGGTTTGTCAGGGCTTGTAAGGCTGGTGCACCAAGATTGGCAAGTCACTCTCAGCCTATTGTCTGGCATGAAATCTAAATGGTTGGCACACGTCTGTGCACAGCATGGGGAAGGCAGGGTAGCTAGTTTCATCCGCTAACGATTGCCTTTCATGGCCTCCTTGGCTGCCAGGATGAGAGGTGTGAGACTGGAGAGGGGCTTCGCCAGCTTCAGGAACGGATGCTGCACACCAGATCCACAAAGAGACGAGAAGGAAGGGGAAAGAGGGAACCAGTCAATCAGATGCACATTTAATTAAAACTCAAGTGTTCAATAAAAAATAAATCTTAATAACAGGAAGAATTTTTAACCTGCAACAGCTCTTTGCCTCCGCCTCTTTTTTCTACATCCATTTCCAAGCAACGGTTGAGGAAATCTCTGAAGACCGGAGACAGCTTCTCTGGGTTCTGAAGCTCGGGCGTGCCGTTCGTGGCAATCAGGTATAACGCCTGCCAAGGGGAAGAGGGGAGAGATAAAGGAACACCAAGAACTGTGAAATCAAGGTTCAGGGAATAACTCACTTGCAGCAAGTGAATAAAGTCAAACTGGTAAAGTGGGAACATTTTAAAAGTCTGATTTTAATTGATATGAAAGTATTTCACAATAATTGTCTAACCCAGTATTCACACCACCACCATAAAGTCTTTTCCCCTTGTATAGCCCTTAATGACAGCTGAGTTAACTGACTTTATAAAAACCATACAAGGTGGGTGACACCATGTAACTGGTCTACAGATTAAATTGTTGGCCCAGGATTGTCTAATTCATAAGTGTGTTCACACAGAAGAGGAAGTTTAATCTGAGAATCAACATTGTATATTGGTCAAATTCATGTGTGTGTAAACATACTTGGCCAATAAAAATAATAAACAGTGTTCCTGAATTCTTTGTAAGTAAACTTTTAATCTTCTAACATTTGCTCACGGTGCAGGTGATTCAACTTGGGAGAGCTTTGCATCAAAATGTTGGAGGTGAACATGTAAATAAGACAAAAATAAAAAGAGAGTTAAATAACCAAGAGGATTTAAAATGGTCGCACTCACGCGCAGTGGGTTCTCGTTCAGGTAGGGAGGCTCTCCTTCAACCATCTCAATGGCCATAATACCCAGTGACCAAATGTCTACTTTAGGCCCATAAGCCTTTCTGGTCACCACCTCAGGAGCCATCCAGTACGGCGTGCCTACCATGGTGCTGCGTTTGCTCTGCTCTGGAGTGATCTGAGCACAGAAGCCAAAATCGGCTGTCGAGGAGATGAAGAAGAGTGAATAAATATTAACAGTGAAATGACACAGCAATCGGAGTTTAACAGGCTGCCCCTGATGACATACGTAAAGGACTTACTCAGCTTGACAGAGCCATCCATCCCGAGCAGCACGTTGTCACTTTTAATGTCTCTGTGGATGACCTGATTCGCATGCAGGAAATCCAAGGCTTGTAAACACTGCAGATACAGATACAAATGGGAAGAGACAAGGAAAAGTTGTTGAGGTTTTTTTTGCCTCTAACTTTCACATAAAGTAGGATTTGATTTCTTCCATATGGCTGTCAAGAGTGCAGCGTACCTCTCGGCAGACAGCAGCTATTTGGGCCTCATCCATGCAGGTCTCTGTAACCACATCGGTCAAGGAGCCACCAGCCAGGTACTCCATCACCACAAACAGCTCCTCCCCCATCAGGAAACTAACACACACACACACACACACACAGGTCAATCCATGCTTGTGTGTCCTTTTTTAAAATTTGTTATAGTATCATTGGATGCTCTACTCTCACTTTTTTCAAGAGCTGTCTGGGTGTAACTTTACTTTCAGTCTTACCTGTCTAAAAAGTTGACAATGTTGGGGTTTTTCAACTCCTTCATCACCAGAATCTCATTGATGATCAGCTCCTTCTTCGGCTGCTTTTGTAGGTTGATCTGTTTAATGGCGACCTGTAAAAAGGCACGAAGAGAGAAGAGACGAATGATGATGAATTACTTCTTCTCAGGGGATTGTTAGTATAGTATTTTCATATGTAATATTCCTAATCTTCTCTTGCTCTTTGTCATGACTGCTCTCTTTTCTTAATGTAAAGCATTTAAAGCAAGACAACATAAGTTTTGAAAGAAGACATAACACATTCTTGGTTATATGATGGCTATTTCTAACTAATGTACGCTAATGTTAGTTAACTTTAAATAGATATTGCTGCATAACTAACAGCACTGGGTCAGTTTGCTAACTTGATTACTCTTCTTTATTTGTGTTTCTGGGGGCAGCTGTTCAGGAAAGGTTACATAGTCTCACTTTAAAGCTGTATTTCTTGTAGAAATATGCGTTTCATGTAGCAATTGTTACGCAATGAGCGCCACTTCTATGCTCTGCTGTGTCCCTGGTTAGTCTTTCTCCACAACTCATCTATTAGTCATTCTTTACCTCCTGTCCTGTGGCAACATCAATGGCTGTGAAAACTGTTCCTGATGCCCTGTGACAAGAGTGAGATGAGCAATGCACATTTGAACAAACAGTTCACTCAAATTAGTCTGCATATGTATTATGCACAGGTGTGACATGGTGCTTTTTTGTATATTACTAACTGAAAAACTAAAATAAGATAATAAGAATCTACTACGATCGGTCTCATAGGATAGTTGGGATCATGTTGAGGTTTCTGGCTCCATAAGGCTGACACTGAAGACGCTCGAAAACATGTAATGTTGACACACAAAAAAAGAGAGAAAGAAAATATATATAAAGTAATATTACATGGAATGGTGGATCTGCACTCACCCCTGACCAATTTTTTCATATCTGGTGTACTTCTTCTTGGGATCTCCAATGCTGACTATGGTTCCTGTAAGCCAGATAACAATCACATATGGAAAGGAAACAGGTGGGATTTCAACAGCTGTATTGTTCAGGAAACAGATTTGTAAGATTAATGATATATTAATTATTTACTCAGTTTGTCCATGATTTCCTCATCCGACATCTTGCCCTTCTTTTTCTGTCTGTCTGCAGCCTTGGAGGCAGTGTCTCCATCTACACATGTGCTTGGAGCAGGGATGGGGTCAATAACAGAGCGCGTATACACCTGTACAACACAACAAACAAGAGGCAATCAAATAAATTCATTATTCTTAAATGCACAAAGAGTGCATCAGAATGTGAAATATGAATAACTGATTTTACAGACAATCATTTTGCTGTCAAGGCTACTTAGGGTAGGTGACTTACGCTCTTTGTGTGTTCTGGTCTTGGTGCCACAACAGGAGGAGGAGCTTCATCATCGTCATCATCATCAATGTCTTTGATATTCGGAGAAGAGGGTTCAGAGCCTTTTTTGACAGGCTAATTTAGAGTAAAAGAAAAGGTTGTTTATAAGAAAAAACATTGGGCTAATTAAACAGCATGTGTTTTGTAACTGAGCACTGAGTACTTACAGACTGAGGCCCTGGGGTGAATGCATCTTTTTCTGATAATGAAAAAACACAACAAAGAGAAAACTAGAATTACTGGGAGCGGCGGTGCCTCAATCGGTGGAGTGCCCGCCCCATGTGCAAGGCTTAGTCCTTCTAGGTGTGGCCCCAGGTTTGACTCCAGCCTGGGGCAGCATATTGTCCCCTCTCTCTCTTGCTCTCTCTCTCAATTCCTACTTCTCTCTGTCCTATACAAATAAACCCTAAAAAATATCTTTAAAAAGAAACTAGAATTACGGGCCTGTGGTTGTATGCCTCCGCCAACCAGTGAAGTTGCAGTTTACATCCCTGTCCAGTCCTGTCCTTTGTCCAGACTCATAATATCCACTATATTGTCAATGGTT